GGGGGGGGGGGGGGGGGGGTAACTGTGAAGTTGACCCCCCTAACACAAAATTTTTTTTTCAGAAAAACTAAAGATATGCAAATTCTGAAAACGATGTAGCAAATTATAGCAAATTAATCGCAAAATCATGCAAAAGTATTGGGTCTGTAACTTGAAGTGGGGGGGGGGGGGCAACTTCACGTACATTAATAATTCCCAACAATGCTTATGGGAGAGTGCTTAAAATAATTTACAAATACAAAAGTATGTATTACAAATTTGCTGAACATTGTTTCCTAGGAATCTTCAAATACTGATATTATTTTTGTTTCAGGCTATATAAGAATACAATGTGATGATTAGTTAGGTTTCAGGTAGAGAACAACATTTATGATTGAATTTATTTAAACATTTTTCATGATATACCTAGGTACCCGCTGCAAAACGTAGGTTTGAAGAAAACTTTTTATAAATTAGGTATAATTTATGGTACGTCAACTGTTTTTAACTATACAAAATTGGGCATTTTTTTTGTTTTTTTATGCTCGTTAAGCTAAAATAATATTGGAAAATTGTATGTCATGTTTAGAGTTAAATGTTACCTTTATTTTTTTTTTTACTTTTAAGTGAATGAGTAAATACAATTAACTTAACTTAGCTAAAAATCAGTTACTTCATATCAAATTAATAATTTTACTTACCTTTTTTAAAAGCTAACAAATAACATACTATAATTTTATAAAAGTCTTACAATTTTTAAATAATATAAACATATATACCTACATAATACTATAGAATTAAATTAATTTTTGGTATTTGTAAAGTATGGTTTAAAATTATGTAGGTTACATATATGTTTATTTTATATCACGGTAGATTATATAATATTATATAATTATTATATTATATAATCTACCGTGTTTTAAATTAACTGTTATCGTATATACATAAAAAAAAAAAAAATGAATTTTAATGTCATTCATCAGAAATAGTTTTTAATGTTAATTTTACACAATGTTTCTGTGTAAAGAGTATTTTGTAAATGGAGCTTTTTCCGTAAATAAAGAAGTACGTAATAAATAAATATTTGTACAGACTGTAGGTTTTGAGTAAAACTTTTATAAATGAGGTATGGTTTATAGTAAGTAAATTGTTATAAAATATTAAAATATATATACCTAACAAATTTAAATGAAAGTAAAGAAAATGTTATAAAATACATGAATTTAACTGTTTTATTACAAATTCTAGACAATATTACGAATTAAACTGTGTGAAATATTAAGTAAGTAAGGGAGAGGGGGGTCTAAGCCTCTTTACTACGATTTTTTTACGTGACGTTGCTGTGGCTTTTGATATTATTATAATTTATAACGATTTTAATTTTTTTGTAGGTTTAATTATGGCTATCATAAATTTGAAAGCTCGTAGGCGTTATTAGTTTTAAGTATTTTAGCGTTTTATTAAATAGGTACTTGCAGTATGAAGTTATTGTGTTTTCTGCGTATAACCTCATATAAAAACAGTCACTATTTAGAAACAACATTACAGTTTGTGGCTCAATCATACCAGAATTATAACGATTCAAAAATGTTGGTTCAATTGGTTCATTCAAAACCATTTTAATAATTATAAGTATATGAAGTGTTGAGTTGTATGATTACACAATATATATTTTATTATCTGGTATCATCACATATCATTCTTACTTTTAATATGATAAACATGACATGTATAAATATAAATCACAGACAAAAATATTACTTACTCATTGTTGTACTACAAAATTATTATTATAGTACACAAATAAAATTGGTTGGGAGGAGTACGGGAATAATTTATTTACGATATTATAGTCTATG